TCAATCGCATTCAAGTCAGTTTACTGAGAGTTTCAGATAAACCAGTGGTCACTAGGTGACTTCACGTGGGTGGTGACCCTTTCGGCCCAGGCGCCAGTGGCCAACTGTTTTTTCTTACTGTGAATTTTTGTATGATCTTTTTTCCGGTGTACTGGAATGCTGATCTGAAGGTTGCGGGATCGAATCCCGGCCGCGGCGGCAGTATTACAACGGAGGCCAAGTGCTCGAGCCCCGTGTGCTTAGATTTAGGCGCGTGCAGACATTTGCGGAACCCCTCCTGTATACGGCGCCTCTTGTAATTGAATCGTGGTTTTGGGGCAAACAACTATTAATGATCTCCCGCCACTCTGATCTTCGAAAGACTGGCGAGAGCGTTTCGGCGTTCGACCACCCAAAATCACATCTAACAGGGCCGTATTTCCTCCCTTACAAACTCGTGCACTGTTCGTATTTCCAAAATCATTCGGGCCGTGCTCCCACGAAAGTGGAATGTGATCGCAAGCGAGTCCTCGGCACGCGATGTGCCGGGGTGGACGAAACGTGCGAGCGGAAGGAGTCGGCCGTGCGGCGTCGGAACGCATCTCGCTTCGGGGACGTCGTGCTGTAAACAGACACATTTAGGTACAAGCACCTCTGCATCCGCCTACGTTGGCTCTCTCCGTTTTCCTCTTCTTTCTTATACTTTAGTATTCCACGGAAGTGGACGCTCATCGACAGGCGTCCGAGCTGAACGTTTCCCTGCAAAGTACATCTGCCATATACGGTGCGTATTCGTACCTATCCGTTTTCGACGTGAGCCTCGTTTGGCTAGCCGGATGCACAATGTCCAGACTATATTGCTCTGTATAGCTGTTGCTATCCTTTCGCGCGCTGTTTTTGCACCAAATTAGCATGTTTGTCGGCCTCGGTCGTTGTCTGCTTCCTCTTACATGTTGTTTGCGCAAAAATAGCGTCTGCTTTCTTTCTTTATTTTCGGACAAGTCGTAAACGTGCCCCCAAGAGGTGACTTCCCTTTGTTCTTGCGTTCTTGGTTCAACGGCGCAGTCATACCGAATAGACCTCTACCGGGCTGCGTCACAGCGTGACGTCACTGGTGCACGTGCAAAGTGGTGGTTGGCAAAACACTCCCGCCGGTGGCTGAGTGGAGTGCAGTCGCTCGGAGCTTGGGGCAAGTTTTCAATTATTTTTCAAAGCTTAATCTTCATCTCACACTTGCAACATTAGCTGTGGTATGTGTCAGAGAACATCTAGGTGTGTGGTAAAGTACGTGATGGAATATTCGCCACGCTGGCTGGCTTTTTATCTCTGAGAAGTGAACACACGAGGCGGCCTGTGCGAGGAACAGAAGCATCGTCTTGGAAGCTGTATACAAAAAAACTGTATAAAAACTGTATACAAAATGTGCTTTGTTGACTGTGGCGTGTAGTGTGCGTGGAAAGACATCGACAATATTGGTTTACCTTTACGGACTCTGAAACTGGGAATATTGGGCGTGGTGTGTGCAGTGTGAATAACGCGATGCGTCTTGTTTGCGAAAACACTGGTATTCGTTGTGGACCGGTTGCAGTAACGGGTTGTCGATGGAACTTTACGATCTGACATTTCAGTCAAGGTGAAACTACATTTGACGCGATCATCTACGAGTGGGTACATGTCAGCGTATGCGCGACGTGCAGAACAATAAGTGGATGATCTCAGGGTGATATATATATATATACAGTACGCATGAGCTATAAGAATGTTGTAGCGTTACCGAATCTGCACATACGCTTCACCATGGCCTCGTATTATCGGATACCTGATACGTGTGAATGGAAACAGTGGAGATTTTCGTTTCTTATCTACTTTGTACTTTTGTGGCTCGATCTCTATGAAGTGACAATGTGCATTAGAAGTTTGTGTATCTGGCCTAAAGGAGCAATATAAGTACGAAAATATGTTTTAGGTGTCAAATGCAGCAAGGTAGCTGTGCCAGATATTATTCTATACTATTACGTCGTCGGAGTTTTACATCACATGAAGTTTCACTGAGTTGTTGAGAAACGCAGCGGCAGAATTTCCCTTCAGTTTTCACGAGGATATGTTAACCTCAGTCTAACGCACGGCAGGAAGTGTTTCTTTCTTTCTTTATTCATTTATCTGAGATCAGACTTTTGCGCAATGAGTGAGAATCTTATCCGTGACGTCGCGCACAGCAGCTCAAAACCATGCGGCCGCCAATGCTCAACCTCGTTTAAAACTGCATTGCACATGCCGCGATGGAAGTTGAATAAATTTACATCCATGCCTTGCAAGTATTTCTCAAGGTGCCACTCGCCGTGTACATTGAAAACATTCGCTTTCGAAAAAGATCAGACATTTTATGGCTGTCATCTACGTGGGTGAAACCCGCTGCGTGCTAGTCGCGTCTCTCAGTACTCTAAATAAAGTTTCTCCATCCATCCAACTACGACGAGCAAATTTCCACAATATATGCGCAGTGACCCTTCCGTGACCCTCTTCTTTGAAAAGCTGCGACTTTAGAACATAGCAATGTTGAAATTTCTGTCGAAGGAATGCAGACACGCAGCTCTGCTATGCAGAAAGATGCCGCCGGCGGAACTTTCTTGCCAACCAGCACCTGCTTCGAGAGAGGGTATGGTGGGCGGGGTGTCCGCAGTGACGTCACACTGTTTGCAAACAGGGAGAGGTCTATTATTAAGCAGGCCTCTCCCTGTTTATAAACAGGGAGAGGCCTTTAGTCCCTCCAACCTAGGCAATCGTTGTTTTTGTCTGAACAAACAGTGAATGAATGAACGAATGAATTTCTCTCAGTCATCTCAGTAAACTGTATATACCATATGCACGCACACACACATGCAAACACAAGAACGAGCTTACATAACGAATGGCTCAAAAACCTCCCGAAAAAAAAAATTTCTGGCTTTAGTGGTAGAGTAGTTTAGTTGTAGGCAGTGGGATAACTGTCAAAGCTGTGATTTGCTGTGTGTTACTGCTAAACGTACGTAAATATTCGGAAACATGGAATAATGAGTCGAAGAGTGTGCTTTTATGTTTCACTAATAGATCTCTGGATATTTTCAGCAAGTTTTTCTATGCCTTGCCTTCTCCAGTGCACGATAGAAAACGAAGCTTAAGCTAAAAAAGATAAACTTGCATTCCACTTGTTAGCTTGAAAGCACAATTATCCGCGGTAAAGATGTTGGTTGCGCGCGTTGCTCATCAGTGGGTGTTGCTAGGCACATTTTACAGGTGCGGAGCTCGTGTCGTTCAATCGAGTTAGAAAACTATAAAAAAACGCTTCACTGCAGTATTCTCTTCAACAATAGTGGCAGAAATACCGCAACAATTCGTTCTAAAGAAGGACACGGCGATAGTTATAGCGCGAGAACAGAACGATGACAAAGAGACAAGAAGGCTCTTTGTGGTCGCTCTGTTCTCGCGCTATAACTATTGTCGTGTCGACCAACTAGCCCAAGCTGCCACACTCCTAAAAAAGGACGTTTTTCTTTTCGTCTTGCCATCGTTGCTCAGGCGACGCTCCTTTGGTTCTGTCGCGAAGGGGTATGCAGTTATAAATAGGCAATAAAGTAATAATAATAATAATAATAATAATAATAATAATAATAATAATAATAATAATAATAATAATAATAATAATAATAATAATAATAATAATAATAATAATTAATGCGTTGCCGCGTTTCTATGTCCTGGATTTGCGAACAGGGTGTCTTGCGAAATTCAGTTTTAATAAAGCTCGCTTTATAATGTGCCGTGTAATGAAAGGACAAGTATAATGTGTCTTTTATCGTAACTTGAAAATTGTAATATACTAATGGTGAATAACTGTTGATTATCTTCGATCTATTGAAAACAGATATATATGCATTCGATTCGGTGTCCATCTAGCACTATAGGACTGGAATGAGTAGGGCTGGGGGGATTAATTCTCAATTGACATGCGCACCCGGATATGAAAACTGGTTTTAAATGGCAATGCGGTCGCCACATAATACGCGAACCAATCAAACGTATGAGATATTGTTTGATTTTGGCGCTATTGCATTGTCTCCTTTTTTTCAATTGACATGATGCAAAAGATATCGGAACAGAAATACTGCGCCGTTTGCTCGTTAGCTCTTGGAGGTATCGAACATAGAGCATAAAGGGTCCAAATTTTTGTAACATAACCGATTCTCAGCACGTACAACGGCACAATATACAGCTTGAAGAGTACTATGACACTACAATTGTTCAAAATCACTGTCATTCCTCTTATGTTAGGTTCCGTAGTCATACACCTCGTAGATTTGGAATGGCACGTAAATAATTCTTATTTCATCGGACGTCGCCCGTGTTAACGTTCGGATTGTTACTCCGTGCTGCAATATGAGATAATTCTTAATGTCTTACAATAAGTTGCATAAAGCACACCACGGACACCCATTGGACACCACGATTTTTCTTTGTCCTGTCGGGGCAATTATGCAACGGTTGTTGGTGACAAATCGCAATACTGATTGACACAGGAGACCGGATTTATCCGCGACGAGCGCCGTGGGACAGCTGACGCTTTCGTAGTAAGTATTTGCTGTACAGTTCTGCAAAGTCAAATATTGCATATCGCCTATCTTGCCTCCTGGCGTTGTTTCCTCGTAGGCCGACTCGTGGAAATATTAACGCCAATAGATGACCGCGTAATTCCGAAAGTAGAGACCCGAGCTGGCTCTGCTCGAGCCGGCTTGTCTCTCATTCATTGACTTGCAATTACATTCCGTCCAGTTTAATTAAGCAATAATTCAGTGGTTAATCGTTCTTCCGCTGTCCCTTTATCCGATTTTTTCCTAGAGCAATGATTTTGATGAATTCATTCGCTGCGGAGTAGTCTGTGGCGTCCTCTCTCTATGCGCGCTACAAATAGCAGCTGTCGGCGAGTGCGCCGTCTTGCGGATCAGTTGCGAAGCAGGGCGCGCCCTCGCCTGCCCCGTCGATCGCGAGCAGACGTGCATCGAGCGGACTCCCGCGTTGACGCAGTGTACGGGCGTAGCGCGACCAACACCGTGTTCTACGAGGTGTGTTGCCTAGGTGGTGAACCTTTCCCGTCATCTTACGATTTTTACTTAACGGCAATCGTGCGTGAAACATCTTGCCAGGCTTCATTTCTGACGTCGTCCTCGCGAACGATTCGTCGAACGTCATCCGTGCGGGAAGGAAAAAATAGGCAGGAGTCGTCGCCGAGCTCTTTACCAGAGCCAGCTGAGAAGATCGTGCTTGCGGATTGTCATCGCCTCAGGGAGATCTCACCGGACCACTACGGATCTTCGGATGTGTGACGCCTAACTTGAGTGTGCCTGGAACCAAACGCCGCCACCGTTTTTATTGCCCTACGCCGTGAACATCGTCTTCGCCGTGGTGGCTTCCGACCACCGCGCTAACGGATAATGGAATGGCGACCCGGTTACATCGCATGAGCTTTTCGCCGGCAGGTATGTGTGTTCCGTGTCTGTTACCAGGTTACCGTGGAGAGGGCGTCGCTCAACATCGGCGTGCATCTCCGTGCATGGCTTGAGAGCTTGTTTTGCTTTACTTATGTGTACTGCGCACGCGTTGGGGCGTGTATTTCGCAACGTTTTTTTTCTCTCTCGCCGGCCCCACTCTCACTTTTTTTTGTACCCTACTTTTTCCTTAACCTCTGGGGCGGCTTCCTGTGTATGTATGTGCGCTTTAATGCGATCGCTGTGGTGCATTCCGGTACGTCCGCTGCGGATGTCGCTTTATATGAAATCGGCCGTTTTTTTCATTTGCCCTTTGGTTCGCGCTTGTTAGTGTGTGCCTTTCATTTTGTGATGTTCCCCGATTGTCGTGCTCTACATTAGCCTGTTGCTGGGTGCTCGTAACATGTCCTTCCGCCAGTTCACCTGACATTCCCCCCCCCCCCCCTCTTTCCTTTCGCTAGGCGGAGTCGCTCGCTCGCCCGTTTGCCCGTCTCGGTGCACGATGCCGGATGTGTGGCGATTACGCAATAATGATGCCCGTCTCCCCCTGCGGATTGTTTTCGTGTTGCCGCGTCGCACTTGGTGACGTCATAGCTTTTGCCTGTCGGCGCGCGCTTCCAAGAACACCACGGTCTTGTCAAACTCTGCTGCTCTAAATCAGCGCTCCTATAGCTTGCTCTATTCGTTTCTGTGTTAATCATACTAAATAAAGAAACAGATGTCTTGCAGCTCGCCGTGTAGCAAGGTATGCTAAAGTCTCTGTTGCCAAACAGCGCCGTTTGCATTGCGCCACAGATCTCACGTGTTTGTGCGCAATTCTCATTGTTCTGCCTCTATGCTATTTTGCGGTGTGTCTGCGTTACAATATGAATTTCAGCAACAACGGCTTACATGCCCGTCGTTTCACGTTTCGTAATGTGCGAAGTACACCTTCGGTAGCTTTTCAATAACATTTATGTTTTATTTCACATGCTACATTTGCACCAGAACTGCACACTTTTGCTTGTGACTTCTTACCTCTAGCTGTAGGGTAGACGCCGTTGTGGAGGGCTCCTTATATACTTTCCATGGCCTGCGTTTCTTGAAGGTGCACTGACGTAGCACAGGCCTCTGTAGCATTTCGCGACCTTTGCGATGAGACCGGGCCGCGTGTGGATTCGAACCCGAGTCTTTCGGGCCAGCAGACGAGCACCGTGACTGAGCATCCTACCACGGCAGTGCCATTCGCCCACTGTGTGTGCGTGCGTGGGTTTGTGTTTCGAGTTTTATCTATCCTCGCGAACCCGGGGTTCTAGACGGTCTCGCCCTTGCATCCAGCGTTTGTAAAGGCCGTCTACGAACTTTGTGCGATTCGCCATTTTTGCTCAGTCTTTCTCACGGAGAACCCGTTGCAGATGAAGAAAGTCTTCCAACCATCCATGTCTTATAAACAAGGCACTTATAAGCTACCCCCCCCCCCCCAAAAAAAAAAAAAAAAGATTAAGTGCTTGGCGGACGTGTCACAACCTGCCTTTCTCGAAGTCCTATGCGCACATCCTTTTCTGATGCACTCACCCGTTTAGCGTTGCAACGTTGCTCGTCCTTGCGAATAAGTACATTCCAGTCGAGCGTACTGTAAGTACGTGCGTCGACTGCGTTCGTGCATGCGGGTATCCTCCGTTGTGACTGCGCTTCGCGCCGAGCAAGTATCAACTCGAGCGGTTATCTAGAGGAGCCCGCATTCCTAGGCGCGCTTGACATCGTATTGGCGTCGTTTTCGCTACGCCTAGTAGCGGCTGTATTTGCGAATATGATATGCTCAGTCGATCTGCACCCTTCTCGTCAGGCGAGCGGGTCGCGATCCGTGCACTTTGACGGCGTTCAGAAAAAAGAAAACAAAAAAACGAAACGGATTTTCGTCGCTTTTTCTTGCTCTTCTCTCTTCTCTGGGATGCAGTTATATAAGGCTCAGGTGACGGCTAGCTGCCTACCATGGCGGAATCGTTTATGGCCGTCGCCGTCCTGGCTCGTTTGCGTCGCGCAAATCTCCTTATCTCCTTGGACGACGACCACGAAGTGGAGTTCTCCTTTCCGCCGCAGGCGCCCGATAAGGATTCGTCCGCGGCTTGTAATGGCGTGGTGTTTTCCTTCTCGGCGTATGGCCTGACCGCAGACTGCGACGTAGACGGAGAAGCCCTCATCCCCCCCTTCCCCCGATGTTCCGTTGTGCAATAGGAACGGCGTCGTCTCACCTGTCGCCAGCTGGAATGCCTCACTGAGCGTGGAATGTCTCAAAATGGCAGCGGCTGTGTGCTCTTCGAAAGTGTGGCAGCTTGGGCTAGTTGGTATGACACTGACGATAGTCTATAGCGCGAGAACACAACGACGACACGAGACAAGAAGAATTTCTACCACCGTGTCCTTCGTGTCCTTCTTGTCTCTGTGTCGTCTTTCTGTTCTCGTGCTATAACTATCGTCATGTCATACCAACTAGCCGAAGCTGCCACACTTCATGGAGACGCCGTAGTGGACGGCTCCGGAAATTTCGACCACCTGCGGTTCTTTAACGTGTATCCAAATCTGAGCACATGGGCGTACAGCATTTCCGCCTCCGTCGGAAATGCAGCAGCCGCATCCGTGATTCGATCCTGCGACCTGCGGGTCAGCAGCGAGTACCTTATGGCCGCTAGACCACCGCGGTGGAGCATGCATGTCTTTTCCAGTGCCTGCTTACTGTGCGGTATGTGCGAAATCGCCGTACTGCCGTATTCGGCAAGTTGTTATTTTAATCTGTGAGACCTGTCTCACCCGTTATAATACCTAAACATGAGAAAATGGAATTACGACAGAACTAAGTTGAATAATACTGACCTGCGCTTACATTTATTTAAGAAGGTTGTGGTTACATTTTCAACCAAAGCTTTAGTGTGAGTACGAAATTATAAAAAAGAAAAAGAAAAGAAAATGTTGGTTTCGATGCTAAATGAGGGTAGATAATTATTTTCATTTTTATGCTGCCGTTGAAGTATTGAGCCTCGCGCAAGTCAAATATTTATTTTCTATTGTCGATGTCGCGGCGGCGCTCAAGCTTTCGGTTTCTGCATATAAAAATAATAAATGTATTTGAAAATGAAGCTGGCCATTCAAAGTCAGTATTTTTGTTCACTATAAGCAATAATTCTCTGTATGTGTGTTCGTCATAACGAGTTTCCAGTGTTGTACTGTCCAAGTTAGATGAGGGCGTAGGTTGGCAAAACGTGCCATAGGTTCAGTACTGGGATACTGTAATTTATCTTTAATAAGAGGGCCTCATCGTCATCAACACTTTTGTGACGCCATGAGTCGGAACGCGGTTTTTCTGACGTCATGCGTAGCAACGAGATTATTGTGCGACGACTTTGCTCGTGATCAATAACGGATCGCCGCGCGAGCGGCGACCCCGCGTGACAGATGAAGCAACCGCGGGATTGAGTGCGTCAAGTCAGTGTGTCGTCGTGACGCATTCGCCTTGGCGACACGAATATCGGTTCTTGGAAATGCTGACATATGTATCTGTTACTATGTACTATATATGTTAGGGCGTCCTGGCATTTGCCAGTGTTTCCTCAAAGTTAGATGGTTGAGGTATTGATTCCGCGAGAAAGAGAAGCAAAATGTCAGATTGAAAATATCATCATCGCTTCTGTCATAAATGGCAAAGGGATCGCGTTCGCATGTCACCTCGTGCGCCGATCGGTGAAGCTGTTTTGAGGGAGAGATCAAACAACTTCTATAGTTCTAATTCTAGCCGAATGACAGACCTTCATGGACGTCGGAAATTTGTGAACTGTGCAAGTGCAATGATGATCAGAAAGGTCCGCTCAGTGTGTTTCTGGGTTTGCGTTGCGTGATCGAATGTAGGTGGTCGGAGAAACGTTTCGATGATAATGACTCGAATGGCGCGCGTAGTCAGTGGGCGAGGTAGCCCACTAAACTCTTCATTTCGGTCGGGATTGGGCTGTCGGACTCACCATTGTGTGCCCAATGTAACGTCCCAGAAGATCTCAATGATGTCTTCTGTGAATGCTCATTATAGGCACCAAAGAGACAGTGTATGAAGGCAGCTTCAAATCTCCAACGTTACTGAGCTCATGGCAAAGCAGCTCCAGTGGGTCACGTGCCACGAAAACGCTGCTGACTTTCTTACGGGCCGCAAGCCTGAATGAAAGTATGTAAATAGTGTACTCTACGTGTGTGGCTGTTGATTGATATGTGGGGTGTAACGTCCCAAAACCACCATATGATTATGAAAGACGCCGTAGTGGAGGGCTCCGGAAATTTCGACCACCTGGGGTTCTTTAACGTGCACCCAAATCTGAGCACACGGGCCTATAACATTTCCGCCTCCATCGGAAATGCAGCCGCCGCGACCGGGATACGAACCCGCGACCTGCGGGTCAGCAGCCGAGTACCTTAGCCACTAGACCACCGTGGCGGGGCTACGTGTGTGGCTGTAAACGTCGCGTGTTAATCACCGAATATATACTAAAATCATCACGCACCACCTGGAGTAGCCTGTCAAGCGAAATGCCAAACAAGCATCTCTAGCTTTTCATTAAAATATTTCTCTCTTTCTTTCCTTATTTGGGTGGCCATCGCCCGACAAGGTGTTCGGGCGATGGCCCACCCAAATGGAGTAACCATGGTAGCCTAAACACGTGATTTCAAAGGTTTCGTCAGGTGTGAAACGGGTCAGGGAAACAGGGGGAATGAATCAAGGTGCAGCGCGGTCTTTCATTCCTATACTGGAGGTTTTTAATAGCTCTTCCCGCCATTTCATTCCCCCACCTCGCATATCTCTGTTTCCCCCGGGATGTGATCAGACTATCGAATCAGCAACGAGACGCGGTGCGATGACTTTGCTCGCGGTAAATAATGGAGCGCCGCTCGGGCTGCGCGTGATAGACGAAGCGACTGCGCGATTGAGTGCGTCAATTCAGTGTGTCGTCGTGACGCATTCGCCGCCGCGCAAC